ACACACCAAGGCCCTGACTGTGAGTCTGGCCATTCCTTAAATACAACCCCTGCAATCAGCTTCAGGTGTTTGGCTGATTGCAGGGGTGAGTCTCTGATTGCTGAGAGCACCCGCTGGCCTGCCCTGGTACTGCAGCCCACAAGGCAGGTGAGTCCCACCATTATTGGCAAGTCCATTCCTGACAGCCCTGCTCACCAGGACTTGATCTCAGAAGTGACTTCCCCTCTGTGATCTAGCCCGTGGTGGGCAAGGCAAAATATATCAGGGGGCATAGTTTTGAAGCAGTTCTGGCTGAGGCTGTTCTACACTATCATGCAGTGGCGTATTTACCCCGAGGCAAACAAAGCGTTTGCCTAGGGCGGCAATTTTTGGGGGGGACCTGAGGACCTGGCCAGGATCCGCCATGGAATTTGCGGAGGCTGCGCGCTGCTGGAGGGTGTAAGCTTCCTGCACAAGGAAGGAAGACACCAGGCTTGGCTCCGGAGAGTTTAAGGTTAGTGCTGCACTAACTTGCTCTCTCTTTGTGGGAGGTGGTGGTACTGGGTGCCCAATTTTAGTGGTGGCTGGGGCGGTGCTGGGTGCCCAATTTTAGTGGTGGCGGTGGGAGCCGGGGGGGTTTGCTGGTGGTGGTGGGGGGCACCCAATTTAAGCATTGCCCAGGGCAGTACAAGAGCTAAAAACACCACTGCTATCATGCACACTCTGGTTGGTCGGGTTGGATGTATGGCGTTTTCTACCCACACATCTGTCACTGTTGGATGAGCAAATTACTACCCCAGCACGCCACTCCTGGAGACTAGGGGATCATATCCTCTCTGCTTAGAGCGGCAGTCTTTAACTACTTGCTGACCGCAGATAGCCGAATGACGGCTTCACTGCGGTCAGCCAGTTCTGGGAGGGCGTCATATGATGTCCTCCCAGAACGTGCCCTCCCTCGCGTCCCCAGGGGCGTGCCACCCAGCAATCTTCATGAGTGCTGTGTCCTACGGACACAGCTGATCACGTGATGTGGTAAAAGGCCAATCACAGAGGTCTTTTACCACGTGATTAGCTGTGTCCAATGACACAGCAGATCACCGGTAAATGCAGTTGCCAGTTATCGGCTGCACTTTTCTCATGCTGTCACAGTGTGAGGAAAGTACTGCCGATAACTGGCAATTGTCAGAGGACAGATCGGCACCGATCATCAGTGCCCATTAGTGCCACCCACCAGTGCCCATCAGTGCCACCCACCTGTGCCCATCAGTGCCTAGCAGTGCTGCCAGTCAGTGCCACCCATCAGTGCTGCTCATCAGTGCCGCCTATCTGTGCCCATCATTGTTGCATAACAGTGCCGCCTCATCAGTGCCGCCTATCAGTGCTGCTTATCAGTGCCCATCAGTGCTGACTATCAGTGCAGCCTCATCAACGCACATTAGTGAAGGAGAACAATTACCTGTTTTCAAAATTGTATAATAGAAACAAAGAAAAACTTTTTTTTTTTCAAAAGTTTTTGCTCTTGTTTATAGCATAAAAAAATAAAACACCCAGTGGCGATTAAATACCACCAAAAGAAAGCACTATTTGTGTGAAAAAAAATGATAAAAATTTCATTTGGGTACAATGTTGCATGACCGCGCAATTGTCATTCAAAGTGCGACAGCGCTGAAAGCTGAAAATTGGCCTGGGCAGGAAGGGGTATAAGTGCCAGGTAGGCAAGTGGTTAAGGTCACAGTGAGTAACTTTGTACCAAGCTTATTCTTTATATAAACTATTTATGTACTTATTTATGGTAATTGTATCCAGTTTTAATCACTTCTTCTTAGAGAAGAATACATTCTGTTCAGTTAAATAAGATATTGTGCTGTTGCGCTTAGGAATAGATATTCATGCAACTTAGATAAGTATACGCTGCAGTCCTAACCTGTGAACCAATATCACAAAAACAAACAAAATACCATGTGAACCGCGCATAAATTAAGTGCATTAAAGTTGACAATACATGAGTAATATTGCTTCACATATGCAAAGTAAATAAAAAAGTGCCCTTCCTGATGACGAACTATTGATTGAAATCAGTTGAGGTTTGATGACGCAACTTCCGCTGACATCATTTCCGTCCTTTGGAACGCACACTGGGACGTGGCAGCCATCTTGGTTCCTATTCACAGGCAGCAAGGCTGAATACACTGATTACCAAGTTATGGGCACTTTACTTGTGAGTTTTATTCTTATAATTTCTCCCCATCATTAAAGTTTTTTATGGTTTTACTTTATGGGATGTTTGCTTTTGTTTCTGTTCACAAGCTGAAACTTGGTTTACTGCCTGGGAGGAGAGGAGAAAGTTTAAAAAGGCTCTTTTGAAACTACACTGTCATTTATATCCACGCTGGTCATCATCCTATTGGTTACTATCAGCCAGATCGCATGATTCCCAGGAATATTGGTGCCATTCTTACCATCAAGCATTGGGCTAGTTCCTAACCAGGTGCTTAAGACCAACCTAGAGATAGGTGGTCCACGGCTAACGGTGAGTGCACAACCATGTGGGGCACCGATTGAGCACAGAGGAGCACCTGTCATTTTTTGCACGAAGTTCACCAATTAGTATTCAACACCTGGGCACTTTATTTTTCCGTATTGGGACTGAATGTTACAATTATTCACTTTGCATATGAGAAGCAATATTACTCATGTATTGTCAAATTTATTGCACTTAATTTATGCCCGATTCACATGGTATTTTGTTCTGTTAGTTAGTCTTTCATGATAGGTGAAGTCCTCTGTGTCACTTTTTAATTGAGTTGAGCAGTATTATTATTATTATTATTATACAGTATTTATAAAGCACCAATAGTTCGCTCAGCGCTGTACATTACAAAGGGGGACGGAACATGTGACAGAACAATACCAATACAATGCAAAACATGAGGGGATTGAGGGCCCTGCTCTTTCGAGCTTACAATCTAGGAGGGAGGGGATGGTGGCACAGGAGGAGATAGCTGTGGGGAATGGAGTGGTTGGAGGAGGTCGGCAAGTTAGCAGGGAGTGGGGTAGGCTTCCCTGAAGAGATGGGTTTTCAGGGTGCACCTAAAGGAGAGGAGAGTAGGTGATAAACTGATGGGTTGGGGCAGGGAGTTCCAGAGGATGGGTGACACCCTGGAGAAGTCCTGGAGGCGGGCATGGGAGGAGGAGACCAGGTAACTAGAGAGAAGGAGGTCTTGTGAGGAGCGGAGTGTGCGTGCTGGGCGGTACTTGGATATTAAGTCAGTGATGTAGTCCGGGGCAGTATGGTGGACAGCTTTGTACATCAGTGTTAGGATTTTGAATTTGATCCGTTGCGCAATCGGAAGCAAGTGGAGGGATTGGCAGGGGGGGGGTGGCGGGGAAACGGAGCGGTTGGAAAGGTGAATGAGTCTGGCAGCCGTATCAGGATCGACTGAAGCGGGGATAGCCAGCGGCGAGGCAGGCCAGTGAGGAGGGAGTTGCAGTAATCGAGTCGTGATATGATGAGGGAGTGGATGAGCTGTTTAGTGGTTTCTGGGGTTAGGAACGTGTGTATTTTGGCGATGTTGCGGAGGTGGAGTCTGCACGAGTTTGTTAAAGATTGGACTTGGGGTTGGAAGGATACGTTGGAGTCCAGAATGACACCAAGTACTCTGGCCTGCGGGGCGGGTTTGATGGTGGCGTTGTTGGATGTGATGGAGAAGTCAATGGGGGGTGGTGTCCGGGCTGGGGGGAAGACAAGAAACTCGGTTTGGGAGAGGTTCAGTTTAAGGAAGTGGAGTGACATCCAGTCTGATATGTCGCTCAGTAGGTGTGTGATTCGGGCGGAGACCGAGGGGGTGAGGTGGGGGGTTGAGAGATAGATTTGTGTGTCGGCGGCATAGAGGTGGTAGTAAAAGAAGAGACCACGCTGGTTTGCATAGTCAAAGTATAAAACCCCTTTAAACATTTCAGCAATAGAAAATGAATGAAAACCAATTTACATAGTTTGCATAGCATATGCATAATTACTGTACCCTACCTAAGTTTCAATAAAACAGAAACGTCTTTCTCCTTTGCAACAAAGTGTGAGTTTGAAAGAATGCTAAGACATGGCTGATTAAAATTGGCCATAAAGGAACAGCAACTCCTGCAGAACACAAGTGATCCTGGCAGAACTGCACAGTCATCCAGTCTACTAGGTCAGAGGCATCCCTAGGGTTGGTGTCACCCGGTGCGGTAACACTTGGTGTCACCCCTCCAGAGAGGAAGGAGCGGTGCCAGTGTAGCGGTAAAATGAGTATCCCGTCCCATGAAGATATGTATCCCCTGAAGCAACTGCGCATATGCCAGTTTCAGGCCGAAGAAGCTGATCTCTGACTTTAGCACAGAGCTGCCACAGTTAACCCCTTACAGGCTGAAAACCGCTGAAGCTGATCCCGCGTATCACTATGGGGTGCAAGATCAGTTAACCCCGTATAGGTTGACTGATCTTGCAACCTTTTAGTGATCCGTGGGATCAGCTTCAACGGTTTGCAGCCTGTAAGGGGTTAACTGTGGCACATGCGCAGTTGCTTCAGGGGATACATATCTTCACGGGTCCGGGATACTCATTTTACCGCTACATCGGGGGCAGTTGTCACTGTGCTGGGAATCCAGGGTCACCTCAATATCTGGCCAGGACCTTTACAGAGCCCAGAAGCTCTGCTGGCATCCTGCTCCTGCACCCCTTGTGATGGTGTCACCTGGTGCGGCCTGCACCCCCCCTAGGGACGCCACTGTACTAGGTGCCAGCAGATGCCCCAGAGACCCTTTAGGGAAAGCAAAAAATTTCCTACAGGTTTGGTCAATAATGTGGGTTTGGTCCATAATGTGTAAATATCAGAACCTCCAGTACATGGCCAATCTTAGAAAGAGTAGCACATATGAGAACCCACAAATATTCCCCTGCACACAGGCCCTTTTAGAAAAGGCCACGGTTATTGGTCAGCTTCTTCTGCTATGCTCCTCATCACAACTTTCTTTTTTCTCTTCAGCAGGCAATATCACTGGAGCTTTCTTCCCGTGAAGAGCGTTCTCCGAGAAGGTGTGTCCAACTCCATGAGTCCTGTGTTGGTCACCTGTCCTGCTGTAGCCCGTGTGCAACTTGCTACTGCCGATTCTTCAATGCAATTTGCTATTGCAGGAAAACCAGCACTAATTGCCACCAAGGCAAAAACTAGCATCAACATGCCTAATGGTCCCTGGGGACTATATACTATGCGATGCTTTGTAATAATATTTGATTGTATATTTACCTCTATTTTCTCTATATGAGTTTCTAACTTGTCTTTATAAAACCTCTTGTAATGCTATTCAGGGCAAAGTAACAGAATTGCTTTAGAGTAAGCACTGAGTACTTAGTTTCAATGGATTTTTCTGCTAACCCAAGCCCATTACAGTCTCCTGTGCTGTGTAAGATCCAACTCAACATTTAACTTGAAGCTTGCAGTGCAAAGAGCTCCACGCTTTATCATAAAAGGCCACTCAATGGTAATGTCCATCTTACTCTTCCTACTCTTAAGCAAACCTGTTACTTTGCCCTGAATGGGTAACCTACAGAGTCGCTTGAAACAAAATATAATAGTGTGCTTTGCAACGTGTCTATAAATGTTACTTATCTTATATCCCAAACTTACTAAACAGACACTATATTTATACTACAGAATATGAAGATTTTTTTAAAGGGATATTAATATTTTAATGTAACTACAAATTATTTCAGCAACATTTACTATTAAATGTGAACAGCTGAATTTAAAGATGCTTTTGTGTTTCTTAAAAAACAAACAAACAAAAAAAACAACGTTAACCACTTGCCATCTGCCCTATAGCAGAAGTACTGCTACAGGGCGGCATGGCTGCTCAAAATCACATGTACAGGGGCGGACTGACAACTCATGGGGCCCCCGGGCAATAGGGGATCATGGGGCCCCTGTGTTCTCGCCCACACCCAAAAAAGCCTATGAAAAAGCCAATGAAAGGTACCAGGGGCATCTCATGGGGCCCCCTACTGACCCAGGGCCCTCGGGCAGTGCCAGAGTGCACGAATGGCCAGTCCGGCCCTGCACATGTATATATGCTTGTTTTGCATTTCTGGGTAGGAGGTGCACACGCGATCATCGGCAAAGCTGACAGGGAAGAAACCTGTGTGTAAACAACACAGGTCTCTCTCCTGTCAGCATGGACATGCTGCTTTGTATCTCTCTGCACAGCAGAGAGATACAAAGCAGCATGTCTCCCAAGTAAAACACAGCACACAGTAAAACACACACAGCGCACAGTTAACCCTTTGATTGCCCCAGATGTTAACCCCTTCCTGCCCAGTGTCATTAGTACAGTGTCAGTGCACTGATCACTGTATAAGTGTCAATGGGGATGTCAGTGGCAGTTAGTCAGTTCCCACCAGGGGTGGACTGACCATTTGGGCACTCGGACAGTGCCCGAGGGCCCAGGGTCAGTAGGGGGCCCCATGAGATGCCCCTAGTACCTTTCATAGGCTTTTTTGGGTGTGGTTTGAGTTTGGGTCAGGATGCAGGGGCCCCATGATCTCCTACTGCCCAGGGACCCCATGAGTTGTCAGTCCGTCCCTGGTTCCCACCCAGTGTCAGAATGCCCGCCACAATCCTGCAGTTCCACTATAAGTTGCAGATCGCTATCATTACTAGTATAGAAAAAATAAAATTTCTAGTATATATAAAGCCATTTGTAGAGGCTATAACTTTCATGTAAACCAATTAATATGCAATTATTGGGATTTTTTTTTGTCAAAGACATGTAGCAGAGTACATTTTGGCCTAACTTTATGAAGAGATTTGATTTTTCAATTTTTTTATTGGACATGTTTTATAGCAAAAAGACAAAAATATTGTTTTGTTTTTTTTCAAGATTGTCAGTCTTTTTTTGTTTATAGTGCAAAAAATTAAAAATGCAGAGGTGATCAAATACCACCGAAAGAAAGCTCTATTTCTGGGAAACAAATTACATAAATTTAATTTATGTATATCATTGCATGACTGTGCAATTGTCAGTTAAAATAACGCAGCGCCATATCGCAAAAAATGTCCTGGTCAGGAAGGGGCGTAAATCCTCTGGAGGGCAAGTGGTTAAAGCTATTTGATATTAGAGACTCCCCTTAGTCTCCATCTTCTGTTCCCGATAATTAGGGGATAAATTATCCTCCAGTCTGCCTATTGGAATAATTAATTTTCTCTGACTTGTTTCTGTTTACTTTGTGTTCTTCTGTTCTAGAGACATAAAAAAATAATTAAATACTCCTACAAAGTGAGGTGACATCTAAAATCTAAGTTGTCACCAGATTTCTTCACTGGAAGATTTACTCTCGCCTCCTATTTACAGTAGGTGACATATCGGAACAATTAATTTCTGCAGCGGGGCACAGGCATTAAAAAATCTTATAAGACTTTTTAACTGTTGGCTACTGTATGAAAAAGCAAGAACAAACATGTTTTGGCATTGGGTATACCTTTAAAGTGTAAATTTGCCTTTTCACAAAAAATGAAAGGGTTAACTAACATCCTACAACCCTTCCCACCCCCCAGACACGCTGAACCTACCTCCAAGGGGGATTAGCTGTCACTGCCCATGCAGTGGGTGTAGCAGTCTGGGAAATTGAACGCCCCACTCTTCCCCTTCTCTCTTAGGGTTTACAGGACAGATCATAGTGATTCAAAAGCCGCTATGTGATTGTCAGAATTGCTCTGCTCCATCCTGGAAGCCCTAAGGAAAGAAGGGGAAGAAGAGTGTGGCTTTCAAATCCCCAGATTGCTACACCCATTCACAGCTAATCCCCCATAAATGTGAGTGCAGCGGTAACTAGGGGTGGGGTAGGGACAGTGTAGGGTGTCAGTTCACTTTTCTTTTTTTTATTTGTGAAAAGGTGAACTTACACTTTAAGTAAAATCATGCCGTTGCTAAGTAAAAAAATCTGAGATAGAGACACCCTGTAAAAAAAAAAGATTACTGATACCTATCTGTATAGTGGACGGTAACCCCAATCTTTGCTCTGTTTTAGAACTGAGGCCACTTCTGACACTCACGAGTATATATTCTGAAGGGTGCCTTAGGCTGTGTTCTAGAGCAGTGGTCTCCAAACTGTGGAAGCCAGATGCGGCCCTTTACTTGCTTTTATCCGACCCATGGGGTACTATTTCATCCCCTGATACCAACAATGATACATAATTCCCCCTTCTGACAATGAAGAGGCACAATATGTCCCAATTACATCAATGATTTCACCCCATGACAACACTAATGGGGGACAATTCCTCCCAATTACATGAATGATGGGGCCCAATGACCATAATGATGGGTCACAATAACCTCCCAATGACACCAATGATAAGGCACAATTCCTCCAATTGACACCAATGTTGGGGCACTATTCCTCCCAATGACACCAAAGATGGGGCATTGTCTATTCCCACTGATATCAGGACCTTTTCTACTCCCAATAGCTAAAGTTCGGCCCCCCCTAAAGTCTGAAGGACCGTAAACTGGCCCTTTGTTTAGAAGGTTTGGAGACCCCTGTTCTAGAGTGACACAGCAACTGAGCAAAAGAAACCACAGCACCCATCAAGGGAAACACAGTCTGAAGCAGTGGTGCCCGTAGCTCTTGAACAAGCTGAGGACTGGAGTTGCTTCCCCCCAAGACTGATAAGTATTAGTGATCTTTTTTCCCAAAGTTCTTCTATTTCTTTATTTACATCTTAGCAACAGGGTTGATTTAGACTAGGTTGACATATTTGGGGGTGTGTAACGCATGCAATTTTTCCGACCCACAGAGGAACATGTTGCACTTTAGCAGATGCGTGGTGGTACCATTAATTCTTGTTCAATGTTGTGGACTTCTTTTCCTGCGCTTCTCATGGCTCACAATATGACATACGTGTGGCTGTTGGTGTGTTTGAGGCCATGCACCCATATGGATGTAACTATGGGAGCAGAAGCTGTGTCCATGCAGCCACTGTGTCCCAATACACATGTATGGGACTGCCTCCCCATGCTAGTAAAACACAGCCCTGCATGGGGCAAGGATCAAATTGCCCCATGTGAACGAGGCCTAAGTACTCTGAAGACACTCACATTTACTGATCATGTGACTGATAATATGCCAAGGAGAGAGAGACAGAGAGAGAGTGAGAGGACATTGGAAACCTTAGATTCAGGAAGCAAGATTGGTAGGGAGGTGAACTTTTTTGTAAGTATGTTATAAAACACAAATGCAGTAGTATGGGAGTAAGGCCTGGAAATCATAAATGCATTACAAATCCAATTGAACCTTTAATAAGATAACTAAACATAATCTCAACGTAATTAAATTTATTTATATTAATGACTTAACCCCTAATGCATACTTAAGAAATAAAAGTCATTATATAAAGAAACAAGTGCAGTAAAATAATATTTCAGACTCAGTCCTATGTGACTTTTCCACAAATCCAGGCCTAAGACCACAAGAATCAGTTTTTTTATGATGAGTGAATTTGAAAAATTCTCATGAATAGTTATTATTATACCTGACCAGGGGACTAAAGATGGCTTATCCCCCTTTGCCTTTGACCATTACCTCCTCCCCTTCACATTAATTAAGCACTAGGACAGCAAGCTGGAGTTATTGGCTAAAACAGCCATTTATTACAATAAATAAAATTTGTAAATAATGTAAACACAGTATAACTGGAGCTTCCAGGTCCCAGTAGGAATCAATAAACAAAACTACCTGCGTCCTACATAAAATAGGCCTCCAGCCGCAACACCACCGACTCGGAGACAACCACAGCAGATACCACCATAAGAAAAAACTGGAAGCCGTGCCTCAAACAGGTCCCTACAAAGTACCTTTTTGTGCCCACAGTAATCTATGAGGACTATGCACCCTGCCGGCTCCCATCAGCACTAACCAACACGACCAAACCCAAAAAATGGGCAAGACACAACGGGTGGGAGGAAGGGAAGTTTTCCTTTGCTAACCTTCCTTCCAACGGAAGACCCCTTCCCACATCCAATCCAAACCACCCCTCTGTGGCTCCACCGACTCCTATCTTAACCACTTAGCCCTCCGCTCATGTCTTCTCCTTTCCTCTTACTCCGGCCCTCCCCTAAACCAAAGAGTTGTATGAATATTTCAGCTTCTATTACAAAGTTGAAAGTGTAATTTAAAGGCAGAACCCAAACAGGGCCTGCATTTTTGAACAGGATCCAAACCAGTTATCTATTAATGTCTGGCTCACATGGCTTCAGCTTGTAAATGCTAGTTTACCCTTGGTTCACACCTATCCGTTTTTTAGTGTGTTTTGCGGAAACAAGCTACAGTCCGTTTAACATGGCTTCCTATGGATCTAGTTCACATCTGTGCCTTTTGTACTGATGCATTTTTTTAAAAATTGTGAGGAACATTTTTTTTCCTGCATTTTTCATGTAATAGACTTCAATTTACCTGTACCAAAAATGCAAGTGTTGTGTTTTTGATGAATTTTTCTTTTTGTGTATTTTTTTTGCTAATAGGAAAGTATGACAGTTCTGTTCATGTAGTGCAACTTTGAGGTGACTTTGATGTGACCTTACACTCTCTGGCACTCAGGTAGCATCAAAGTAGCATCAAAGTTGCATCAAAGTAGTGCAGGATCCTTTATCCAAAGTTGCGTGTTAAGATTAAAGCGGAGTTCCACTCACACTGTAAACAAATAAAAGTCAGCAGCTACAAAAACTGTAGCTGCTGACTTTTAAAAAACAGCCACGATCCCGCGGTGCCCCCGCCGCAGCCCGTTTCACTGGCCGTCCTGTATTCCAAGCGCCGGCATCTTCAGTGTGGGCACCCGGCTGTGACAGATTGCGGCTTCATAGCCGGGTGCCCACTGCGCATGTGCGAGTAACGCTGCGCTTCCTAAATGGCCCCAACGTCTTCTGGGACCTGCCATGTGTCCCACAAGACTACGCGGAGGGAGGATAGGAGGACAACTTTTGCTTCCAATCGCCTAGGCGATTGCAGTGCAAGTGGGAGCGGGTACCTGTCAATTTTGGGTATCCAGTATAAGTATCCTCCTGCGCTCCACAGACTGCCTAAATATAGCTAGCTGCTATCATCTACACCCTATACCATGGGACACACAGAATATATATTAAATATTGGATGAAGCGCTCTGCTATAATAGTGCTATACACAAACCCAAAATATTATACAAATATATATAAAACAAAAAACGAAAGTGACTAGTGCTTAATAAATATTATATGTGTAAACACAATAAGAATATATAATCTCCTGTTACTAAAGGCAAACAGACTGTGCACATTGCAAGTGCAGTTGCACTCTGAAGACAGTTGTAACAGGGCTTAGTAAATGAGGGAAAGTGCTGTTGACTGCCTTCATCCAATTATGTGCAAGCAAAATGCTATTTTTTTCTTATTTTCCTTTTCCTTCCCTGTAATTGGGTATGCTTTACCTAATTTACTAAGCTCTGGAGCAACTGCACTTGCAGAGTGCAACTGCACTTTCAAAGTGCACAGTCTATTTGCCTTTTGCTAGAGCTAGGGGACCCATTTCCAGAGCCCCATGAAACAGGAAAGCAGG